TGTAATGTGGTTCCTTGTCTATACTGTAATCTGGTTCCTTGTCTGTGCTGTAATGTGGTTCCTTGTCTATACTGTGATGTTGTTCCTTGTCTATACTGTAATGTGGTTCCTTGTCTATACTGTGATGTGGTTCCTTGTCTATACTGTGATGTGGTTCCTTGTCTATACTGTGTTGTGGTTCCTTGTCTATGCTGTGTTGTGGTTCCTTGTCTATGCTGTGATGTGGTTCCTTGTCTATACTGTAATGTGGTTCCTTGTCTATACTGTGTTGTGGTTCCTTGTCTATGCTGTGTTGTGGTTCCTTGTCTGTGCTGTGATGTGGTTCCTTGTCTATACTGTAATGTGGTTCCTTGTCTATACTGTGTTGTGGTTCCTTGTCTATGCTGTGATGTGGTTCCTTGTCTATGCTGTGATGTGGTTCCTTGTCTATACTGTGATGTGGTTCCTTGTCTATGCTGTGATGTGGTTCCTTGTCTATACTGTGATGTGGTTCCTTGTCTATGCTGTAATGTGGTTCCTTGTCTATACTGTGATGTGGTTCCTTGTCTATACTGTAATGTGGTTCCTTGTCTATACTGTGTTGTGGTTCCTTGTCTATACTGTGATGTGGTTCCTTGTCTATGCTGTGATGTGGTTCCTTGTCTATACTGTAATGTGGTTCCTTGTCTATACTGTGTTGTGGTTCCTTGTCTATGCTGTGATGTGGTTCCTTGTCTATACTGTAATGTGGTTCCTTGTCTATACTGTGTTGTGGTTCCTTGTCTATACTGTGATGTGGTTCCTAGTCTATACTGTAATGTGGTTCCTTGTCTATACTGTGTTGTGGTTCCTTGTCTATACTGTGACCTAATAACCTGGACACATGTCCCACACAGTCTGTGACTGTCATGTCCCACCCACACAGTCTGTGACTGTCATGTCCCACCCAAAGTCTGTGACTGTCATGTCCCACCCACACAGTCTGTGACTGTCATGTCCTACCCACACAGTCTGTGACTGTCATGTCCCACCCACACAGTCTGTGACTGTCATGTCCCATACAGTCTGTGACTGTCATGTCCCACAGAGTCTGTGACTACCATGTCCCACCCACACAGTCTGTGACTGTCATGTCCCACAGTCTGTGACTGTCATGTCCCACCCATACAGTCTGTGACTGTCATGTCCCACACAGTCTGTGACTGTCATGTCCCACACAGTCTGTGACTGTCATGTCCCACACAGTCTGTGACTGTCAAGTCCCACACAGTCTGTGACTGGCATGTCCCACACAGTCTGTGACTGTCATGTCCCACCTACACAGTATGTGACTGTCATGTCCCACCCACACAGTCTGTGACTGTCATATATCACCCACACAGTCTGTGACTGTCATGTCCCACCCACACAGTCTGTGACTGTCATGTCCCACACAGTCTGTGACTGTCATGTCCCACTCACACAGTCTGTGACTGTCATGTCCCACCCACACAGTCTGTGACTGTCATGTCCCACCCACACAGTCTGTGACTGTCATGTCCCACCCACACAGTCTGTGACTGTCATGTCCCACCCACACAGTCTGTGACTGTCATGTCCCACCCACACAGTCTGTAGCCAGTTTTCTCTAGCTGTCTTATCCTGACAACCCATGAAATGTGAACACTGTTTAGCCAAACCTGCTGTGCTTTCAATGGACACCAAAAAAAAGAAAACAAAGAGCTCTGGTGATAAGCTGGGGGACAATGAGACAAACACAAGCAACAAGAGATAATAGCTTGGGTTCTAGGGCAAAGCTGGGGGACAATGAGACAAACACAAGCAACAAGAGATAATAGCTTGGGTTCTAGAGCAAGGCTGGGGGACAATGAGACAAACACAAGCAACAAGAGATAATAGCTTGGGTTCTAGGGCAAGGCTGGGGGACAATGAGACAAACACAAGCAACAAGAGATAATAGCTTGGGTTCTAGGGCAAGGCTATGAGTGGACATCATGTGCAAGCTGCTGGCTGAGTCCCCACTTGGTCATTGTCAAATACAAATATGGCAGTACATCTATCTAAACATGTTTGTATTTACACAAGGCGTTTTAAAGTGAAAGAGCTAAGCTACTGCACCAGGTTTTATCTAAATGTTTGTATTTATACAAGGCGTTTTAAAGTGAAAGAGCTAAGCTACTGCACCAGGTTCTATCTAAACATGTTTGTATTTATACAAGGCGTTTTAAAGTGAAAGAGCTAAGCTACTGCACCAGGTTTTATCTAAACATGTTTGTATTTACACAAGGCGTTTTAAAGTGAAAGAGCTAAGCTACTGCACCAGGTTCTATCTAAACATGTTTGTATTTATACAAGGCGTTTTAAAGTGAAAGAGCTAAGCTACTGCACCAGGTTCTATCTAAACATGTTTGTATTTACACAAGGCGTTTTAAAGTGAAAGAGCTAAGCTACTGCACCAGGTTCTATCTAAACATGTTTGTATTTACACAAGGCGTTTTAAAGTGAAAGAGCTAAGCTACTGCACCAGGTTTTATCTAAACATGTTTGTATTTATACAAGGCGTTTTAAAGTGAAAGAGCTAAGCTACTGCACCAGGTTTTATCTAAACATGTTTGTATTTATACAAGGCGTTTTAAAGTGAAAGAGCTAAGCTACTGCACCAGGTTTTATCTAAACATGTTTGTATTTATACAAGGCGTTTTAAAGTGAAAGAGCTAAGCTACTGCACCAGGTTTTATCTAAACATGTTTGTATTTATACAAGGCGTTTTAAAATGAAAGAGCTAAGCTACTGCACCAGGTTTTATCTAAACTTGTTTGTATTTATACAAGGCATTTTAAAGTGAAAGAGCTAAGCTACTGCACCAGGTTTTATCTAAACATGTTTGTATTTATACAAGGCGTTTTAAAGTGAAAGAGCTAAGCTACTGCACCAGGTTTTATCTAAACATGTTTGTATTTATACAAGGCGTTTTAAAGTGAAAGAGCTACTGCACCAGGTTTTATCTAAACATGTTTATATTTATACAAGGCGTTTTAAAGTGAAAGAGCTAAGCTACTGCACCAGGTTTTATCTAAACATGTTTGTATTTATACAAGGCGTTTTAAAGTGAAAGAGCTAAGCTACTGCACCAGGTTTTATCTAAACATGTTTGTATTTATACAAGGCGTTTTAAAGTGAAAGAGCTAAGCTACTGCACCAGGTTTTATCTAAATGTTTGTATTTATACAAGTCATTTTAAAGTGAAAGAGCTAAGCTACTGCACCAGGTTTTATCTAAACATGTTTGTATTTATACAACGCGTTTTAAAGTGAAAGAGCTAAGCTACTGCACCAGGTTTTATCTAAATGTTTGTATTTATATAAGGCGCTTTAAAGTGAAAGAGCTAAGCTACTGCACTAGGTTTTATCTAAACATGTTTGTATTTATACAACATGTTTTAAAGTGAAAGAGCTAAGCTACTGCACCAGGTTTTATCAAAACATGTTTGTATTTATTCAAGGCATTCTAAAGTGAAAGAGCTAAGCTACTGCACCAGGTTTTATCTAAACATGTTTGTATTTATACAACATGTTTTAAAGTGAAAGAGCTAAGCTACTGCACCAGGTTTTATCTAAACATGTTTGTATTTATTCAAGGCATTCTAAAGTAAAAGAGCTAAGCTACTGCACCAGGTTTTATCTAAACATGTTTGTATTTATACAACATGTTTTAAAGTGAAAGAGCTAAGCTACTGCACCAGGTTTTATCAAAACATGTTTGTATTTATTCAAGGCATTCTAAAGTGAAAGAGCTAAGCTACTGCACCAGGTTTTATCAAAACATGTTTGTATTTATTCAAGGCATTCTAAAGTGAAAGAGCTAAGCTACTGCACCAGGTTTTATCAAAACATGTTTGTATTTATAAAAGGCCTTTTAAAGTGAAAGAGCTAAGCTACTGCAACATGTTTTATCTCTAAACATGTCTGTATTTACACAAGGCGTTTCAAAGTGAAAGAGCTAAGCTACTGCACCAGGTTTTATCTAAATGTTTGTATTTACACAAGGCGTTTTAAAGTGAAAGAGCTAAGCTACTGCACCAGGTTTTATCTAAATGTTTGTATTTATACAAGTCATTTTAAAGTGAAAGAGCTAAGCTACTGCACCATGTTTTATCTAAACATGCCTGTATTTACACAAGGCGTTTCAAAGTGAAAGAGCTAAGCTAGTGCAGCATGTTTTATCTTCTATTCACAAAACTGCAAGCATTTGAGTACAAACTGTAGCTCCAGCAACAATTCCCAGTGAACACTGACAAAAACTGCACTGTCAACTGAACAGGAACCCATGACTTTCAGAGCACAAAGCAACTAGCCTGACCACTCTACCACACTGACTGTACTTCTTGCACAGAAAGGACTAGCTACAGCTGTTCTGTGTTAGCCCATGCTATTCTGTGCTAGCTCCAGCTATTCTGTGCTAGCCCCAGCTATTCTGTGCTAGCCCCAGCTATTCTGTGCTGGCCCTAGATATTATGTGCTAGCTCCAGCTATTCTGTGCTAGCCCCAGCTATTCTGTGCTAGCCCCAGCTATTCTGTGCTAGTCCCAACTATTCTGTGCTAGTCCCAGCTATTCTGTGCTAGTCGCAGCTATTCTGTGCTAGCCCCAGCTATTCTGTGCTAGTCCCAGCTATTCTGTGCTAGCTCCAGCTATTCTGTGCTAGCCTCAGCTATTCTGGGCTAGCCCTGATTGTAGAGACCAGTCAGCCTATGTTGAGTCATCCAGTCAATATCCTGTCAATCACATTTACTTCCCAGCACAATTTACACTGGGTCGACCTGGGAAGCAAAGATCCATTTTTTAACTTCCTATACATTGAATATGGCAGGTCTCTATTAAAACATGACCAGAAACTCTGTGGTAGTATTTGTACCATGAATACTCAGACTATCAGACTTATTTATTTCATAAATGTCAGAGATGAGTTGTTCACCCCTGACCCAAATGCCCTAGCTTCCAGTCATCGTCAGCATGATACCTACCAGAGAGATAGCGTCAATGATCCTCAGCCCCTCCAGTGTTACATTCACAAAGATCTTGCGCTTGTGCTCGCCAGAAATCTTCACTGAATTTTTCAACTTGATCATAGCCTCCTGGCACATCAGATCACCCCTGGCCTCTTTGACATCTTCAATTCCTATCAGCTTGGCCTTGTAACTGATCCCGTTGCCTTCAAATCTTGAAGGGTCATTTATAGGGGCTGGAACAAATACATGACACAATGAAGGCAATAACATGATACAATGAAATCAACAGCATGATAAGATGAAGGCAATAACATAACAAACTGAGGACGATAACATACAATGAAGGCAATAACATAACAAACTGAGGACAATAACATACAATGAAGGCAATAACATAATACAATGAAAGCCAGTAACATGATACAATGGAAGCCGACAACATAATACAATGAAGACAGTAACATAATATAAGGAAAGCCAATAGGATGATACAATAAAGACAAAAACATGATACAATGATAATAATATGATACAAAGAAAGCCAATAACATGACACAGTGAACAAGATACAATTAAGATAGTAACAAGATACAATAAAGACAGTAACAAGATACAATGAAGGCAATAACAAGATACAATGATACAAATAACATGATCCATTGACAGCAATACCATGAAACAATGAAAGCCAATAACATGATACCATGAAAGGAACAAAAAAAATGATACAATGAGAACAAAAACATGATAGAATGAAACCCAATAACATGATACAATGAATGCAAAAACATGATACAATAAAATCCAATAACATGATACAATGAATGCAATAACATGATACAATGACGATAATAACATTATACATTGAAGGCAATAACATGATCCAGACAGCAAAAACATGATACAATGAAAGCCAATAACATGATACCATGAAAGCCAATAAATGATACAATGAAAGCCAACAAATGATACAATGCAGACAATAACATGATACAATGCAGACAATTATGAATACAAAAAAGGCAAGAATATGATGCAGGGAAGGCAATAACATTGCACAATAATGGTAATAACATTATACAATAAAAGAAAATAACAAGATGCAATGAGGACGATAACATGATACAACAAAAACCAAAAACATGATACACTGAAAACAAACATGATACAATAATAATAATAACAAGATACAATCAGGACAATAACATGATACAACAAAAACCAAAAACATGATACACTGAAGACAATAACATGATACAATAACAATAATAACAAGATACAATGAGGACAATAACATGATACAATAAAAGCAATAAATCATGCCATGACAGCCAAAAACATGATACGAGGAAAATAAAATGATACAATGGAGGCAATAACATGATACAATGGAGGCAATAACATGATACTATGGTGGCAATAACATGATACAATGAAGGCAATAAGAGGATACAATAAAGGCAATGACAGAATACAATGGAGGCAACAACATGATACAATGGAGGCAATAACATGATACTATGGTGGCAATAACATGATACAATAGAGGCAATAACATGATACAATGGAGGCAATAACAGGATACAATGAAGGCAATAACAGGATACAGTTAAAGGCAATGACAGGATACAATGGAGGCAACAACATGACACTATGGTGGCAATAACATGATACAATGGAGGCAACAACATGACACTATGGTGGCAATAACATGATACAATGGAGGCAACAACATGATACTATGGTGGCAATAACATGATACAATGAAGGCAATAACAGGATACAATAAAGGCAATGACAGGATACAATGGAGGCAACAACATGATACAATGAGGTCAATATAAGGATACTATAGAGGCAAAAACAGGATACAATGGAGGCAATAACAGGATACAATGGAGGCAATAATAGCCAAAAATATGATACAATGATGACATTAATATTTGCAATGAAAGCCAAAAACATGATACAATGATGACATTATTATGTACAATAAAAGCCAAAAACATGATACAATGATGACATTAACATGATACAATGAAAGCCAATAACATGATACAATGATGGCATTAATATGATAATGAAAGCCAATAACATGATACAATGGAGAAAATAACAGGATACAATGGAGGCAATAACATGATAAATTGGAAGCAATAATATGATACAATGGAGGCAATAATATGATACAATGGAGGCAATTACATGATACAATGAAGGCTATAACAGGATACAATGAAGGCAATAACAAGATACAATGGATGCAATAATATGATGCAATGGAGGCAATAACATGATGCAATGGAGGCAATAACATGATACAATTACGGCAACAACATGATACAATGAAGGCTGAAACATGATACGATGAAGGCAACAATATGATACAATGGAGGCAATAACAGGATACAATGGAGACCAATAACATGATACAATGGAGGCAACAACAGGATGTCTACAGTGATGTGTGTGAGGTCAACAAGATGAGACAGTGGCCCACAAACTGTGTACTGATGTGCGAGGACAACAAGATGAGACAGTGGTCCACAAACTGTACACTGGTGTGTGTTTGAGGACAACAAGATGAGACAGTGGCCCACAAACTGTACACTGGTGTGTTTGAGGTCAACATAATGAGACAGTGGCCCACAAACTGTGTACTGATGTGCGAGGACAACAAGATGAGACAGTGGTCCACAAACTGTACACTGGTGTGTGTTTGAGGACAACAAGATGAGACAGTGGCCCACAAACTGTACACTGGTGTGTGTGAGGTCAACATAATGAGACAGTGGCCCACAAACTGTGTACTGATGTGCGAGGACAACAAGATGAGACAGTGGTCCACAAACTGTACACTGGTGTGTGTGAGGTATACAAGATGAGACAGTGGCCCACAAACTGTACACTGGTGTGTGTGAGGACAACAAGATGAGACAGTGGCCCACAAACTGTGTAGTGATGTGCGAGGACAACAAGATGAGACAGTGGTCCACGAACTGTGTACTGATGTGCGAGGACAACAAGATGAGACAGTGGTCCACAAACTGTACACTGGTGTGTGTGAGGACAACAAGATGAGACAGTGGCCCACAAACTGTGTACTGATGTGCGAGGACAACAAGATGAGACAGTGGTCCACAAAATGCAGACTTGTGTGTGTGCGAGGACAACAAGATAAGACAGTGGTCCACAAAATGTGGACTGGTGTGTGTGAGGACAACAAGATGAGACAGCAGTCCACAAAATGTGGACTTGTGTGCGAGGACAACAAGATGAGACAGTGGCCCACAAAATGTTGATTTATGTGTGTGAGGACAACAAGATGAGACAGTGGCCCACAAAATGCGGAATTGTGTGTGTGTAAAGACAACAAGATGAGACAGTGGTCCACAAAATGTGCACTGGTGTGTGTGAGGACAACAAGATGAGACAGTGGCCCACAAACTGTACACTGGTGTGTGTGAGGACAAGATGAGACAGTGGTCCACAAAATGTGCACTGGTGTGTGTGAGGACAACAAGATGAGACAGTGGCCCACAAACTGTGTACTGATGTGCGAGGACAACAAGATGAGACAGTGGTCCACAAAATGTGGACTTGTGTGTGAGGACAACAAGATGAGACAGTGGTCCACAAAATGTGCACTGGTGTGTGTGAGGACAACAAGATGAGACAGTGGCCCACAAACTGTACACTGGTGTGTGTGAGGACAACAAGATGAGACAGTGGCCCACAAACTGTGTACTGATGTGCGAGGACAACAAGATGAGACAGTAGTCCACAAAATGCGGACTTGTGTGTGTGTGAGGACAAGATGAGACAGTGGTCCACAAAATGTAGACTTGTGTGTGTGTGTGCATGTATGTGTGTGTGTGTGTGTGTGTGTGTGTGTGTGTGTGTGTGTGTGAGGACAACAAGATGAGACAGTGGTCCACAAAATGTGGACTTGTGTGTGAGGTATACAAGATGAGACAGTGGCCCACAAACTGTACACTGGTGTGTGTGAGGACAACAAGATGAGACAGTGGCCCACAAACTGTGTAGTGATGTGCGAGGACAACAAGATGAGACAGTGGTCCACGAACTGTGTACTGATGTGCGAGGACAACAAGATAAGACAGTGGTCCACAAACTGTACACTGGTGTGTGTGAGGACAACAAGATGAGACAGTGGCCCACAAAATGTGGACTGGTGTGTGTGAGGACAACAAGATGAGACAGCGGTCCACAAAATGTGGACTTGTGTGCGAGGACAACAAGATGAGACAGTGGCCCACAAAATGTTGATTTATGTGTGTGAGGACAACAAGATGAGACAGTGGCCCACAAAATGCGGAATTGTGTGTGTGTAAAGACAACAAGATGAGACAGTGGTCAACAAAATGTGGACTTGTGTGTGTGTGTGTGTGTGTGAGGACAACTAGATGAGACAGTGGCCCACAAACTGTACACTGGTGTGTGTGAGGACAAGATGAGACAGTGGTCCACAAAATGTGCACTGGTGTGTGTGCGGACAACAAGATGAGACAGTGGTCCACAAAATGCGGACTTGTGTGTGTGTGGTGCATGTGTGTGTGTGTGTGTGTGTGTGTGTGTGTGTGTGTGTGTGTGTGAGGACAACAAGATGAGACAGTGGTCCACAAAATGTGGACTTGTGTGTGAGAACAACAAGATGAAACAGTGGCCCACAAACTGTATAATGGTGTGTGTTTGAGGACAACAAGATGAGACAGTGGCCCATAAACTGTACACTGGTGTGTGTGAGAACAACAAGATGACACAGTGGCCCACAAACTGTATTCTGGTGTGTGTTTGAGGACAACAAGATGAGACAGTGGTCCGTAAAATGTACACTGGTTTGTGTGAGAACAACAAGATGAGACAGTGGCCCACAAAATGTGGACTGGTGTGTGTGAGGACAACAAGATGAAACAGTGGCCCACAAAATGTGGAATTGTGCGTGAGGACAACAAGATGAGACAGTGGTCCACAAAATGTGGACTTGTGTGTGAGGACAACAAGATGAGACAGTGGTCCACAAACTGTACACTGGTGTGTGTGAGGACAACAAGATAAGACAGTGGTCCACAAACTGTACACTGGTGTGTGTGAGGACAACAAGATGAGACAGTGGCCCACAAAATGTGGATTTGTGTGTGTGTGAGGACAACAAGATGAGACAGTGGTCCACAAACAGTACAATGGTGTGTGTGAGGATAACAAAAACAAATGTATCAACCTTTTTTCAGTCTGGAGGACATGCTGGCTAGTACAGTCACACTTGAATCTGCCGCTGAAAGAAATGACTCAGATGTCAGTACTGCATTGACAGTTGACATACACATGTTAATACAACAGTGGTGGATGGCACGCCTGTCAATACATGTCAATACAGCAGTGGCAGATGACACACATGTCATTACAACAGTGACAGATGACACATATGTCAATACAGCAGTGACAGATGACACACATGTCATTACAACAGTGACAGATGAAACACATGTCAATACAACAGTGACAGATGACACACATGTCAATACAGCAGGGACAGATGGCACACATGTCAATACAACAGTGACAGATGACACACATGTCAATGCAACAGTAACAAATATCACACAACCCTATGGATGTGAGTCATGGGCAATGACAACAGCTCACAGAAGCCAGCTTCAGGCCTCAAAATGAGATATCTGAGAAAGGTGGTCCAAGTGACAAGAAGGAACAAAGTCTGCTATCAGACAATACGTCAAGATCTTGATACCCAGTCCTTACAAACCCGTGTGAATCAGTCACAGTTATAATGGTTTGGACATATATGCAGAATGGGAGAAAATCGGCCATCATGGCAGGCATGGGAGGCTAAGAACCAGGAAACCAGACCTCCAGGAAGACCCAGGGTCCGGTGGGAAGACAACATCCGACAGTCCCTAACTGACAGAGGACTGGAATGAAACAAAGCCAGAAAGAAAACTGCTGATAGAGACATCTGGCGATCTCTCTGGCAAACCTCTACACCCCAAGGTAGAAGAGGAGAGACTATGTAAGTAAAGTTCAATACAGTGACAGATGGCACACAGTGACATGTACAAGGGTACTGCCCTAATGTTGATGAGTGAACTATTGATTCATTCAGACAGTGCAGGAAACAACTAAACATGTCACACAGCTCTCATACATCGCAAGTATTTCTGATGTGCCCATATCTCAACCGATGTGCCCATATCTCAACCGATGTGCCCATATCTCAATCGATGACCTCACCAGATGCTGATCAGTGGGCAGTCATACCTCGTTTACTCTTATCAGGCTATCTACACCGGTAGGGCTAATAGTTTGCAGCCATAACAGCACATCTGACATACACAAACTGTCAATATTTGCTGACTGGCTGATAGAGCCATGACATAACATCTAACATACACAAACTGTCAATATGTGCTGACTGGCTGATAGAGCCATGACATAACATCTAACATACACCAACTGTCAATAGGTGCTGACTGACTGGCTGATAGAGCCATGACATAACATCTAACATACATCAACTGTCAATATGTGCTGACTGGCTGATAGAGCCATGACATAACATCTAACATACACCAACTGTCAATATATGCTGACTGGCTGATAGAGCCAGGACATTACATCTAACATACACCAACTGTCAATATGTGCTGGCTGGCTGATAGAACCAGGACATTACATCTAACATACACCAACTGTCAATATGTGCTGACTGGCTGATAGAACCAGGACATTACATCTAACATACACCAACTGTCAATATGTGCTGGCTGGCTGATAGAACCAGGACATTACATCTAACATACACCAACTGTCAATATGTGCTGGCTGACTGGCTGATAGAACCAGGACATTACATCTAACATACACCAACTGTCAAAATGTGCTGGCTGGCTGATAGAACCAGGACATTACATCTAACATACACCAACTGTCAATATGTGCTGACTGGCTGATAGAACCAGGACATTACATCTAATATACATCAACTGTCAATATGTGCTGACTGGCTGATAGAGCCAGGACATTACATCTAACATACATCAACTGTCAATATGTGCTGACTGACTGGCTGATAGAGCCAGGACATTACATCTAACATACATCAACTGTCAATATGTGCTGGCTGACTGGCTGATAGACAGAGCCATGATAGCACATATATACCCAGTGTCAATATGTGCTGACTGGCTGACAGATAAAGTCTACAACTTTTGGCTAGTATAGGACACAATGACAGATTCTCTGACTCTCACACACAAAACATGCACACACACAGACTCCAATCTGGGCAAAGACACTCAGAGGGAATGGGTACTGAAGAACCACACCAGTTGACAGAAAGAACTAACATGTATGAGTCACTTTTACATATACACTTACGGGGACAAATACACATACATGCACGCACGCCTGTGTGCACACACATACATACAAATACACATACATGCACGCACGCCTGTGTGTGCACACATACACACAAATGCATTTACAAATACACAGTGGAAAAGAACAGAGACAAATAAAAAATCTGCAGGAGCCAGTTGTGTAGATTCCGCAGTGCTGGGTATATGATGGCAGAGCCACAAGTGAACTGATCAATCCACCCGCAATCAGCACTGGATGGGCCCCTACCCATGTGTCATGTGGTCAGCATCTTGCCAGACCTTGATGTCTCCTCTCCTGGTACTCATGTTTGGCTGGGCTGACATCAGACCAGGTCAATGTTGTACAATCCCCACTGACCTCATCTTGAATGGGCTGACATCAGACCCTGTCAATGCTGTACAATCCCCATTGACATCATCTTGAATGGGCTGACATCAGACCCTGTCAATGCTGTACAATCCCCATTGACCTCATCTTGAATGGGCTGACATCAGACCCTGTCAATGCTGTACAATCCCCATTGACCTCATCTTGAATGGGCTGACATCAGACCCTGTCAATGCTGTACAATCCCCACTGACCTCCTCTTGAATGGGCTGACATCAGACCAGGTCAATGTTGTACAATCCCCACTGACCTCATCTTGGCTGGGCTGACATCAGACCCTGTCAATGTTGTACAATCCCCACTGACCTCCTCTTGAATGGGCTGACATCAGACCAGGTCAATGTTGTACAATCCCCACTGACCTCATCTTGGCTGGGCTGACATCAGACCAGGTCAATGTTGTACAATCCCCACTGACCTCATCTTGGCTGGGCTGACATCAGACCAGGTCTATGTTGTACAATCCCCACTGACCTCATCTTGGCTGGGCTGAAATCAGACCAGGTCAATGTTGTACAATCCCCACTGACCTCATCTTGGCTGGGCTGACATCAGACCAGGTCTATGTTGTACAATCCCCACTGACCTCATCTTGGCTGGGCTGAAATCAGACCAGGTCAATGTTGTACAATCCCCACTAGCCTCATCTTGAATGGGCTGACATCAGACCCTGTCAATGTTGTACAATCCCCACTGGCCTCATCTTGAATGGGCTGAAATCAGACCAGGTCAATGTTGTACAATCCCCACTGGCCTCATCTTGGCTGGGCTGACATCAGACCAGGTCAATGTTGTACAATCCCCACTAGCCTCCTCTTGAATGGGCTGACATCAGACCAGGTCAATGTTGTACAATCCCCACTGACCTCCTCTTGAATGGGCTGACATCCCACCAGGTCGATGTTGTACAATCCCCACTGACCTTATCTTGGCTTAAAGGGACTGAATCCCATGACAACCGGACCAGAAGACAGATCTGCTAGCTATGGTCCTAGAACATCCCACCCTTCCACCCCCACTGTCTAATCAAGCTGAAGAGTCTGGTGCAACATTAACTGTGTGCATCCAGGGCCCCATTGTAGGGAAAACATGAACTGCCTGCCCTAAAAAGCAGGTCGAAAGAGTCGACTAGCTAAGTGCTTTCTTCTAAATCGGGAGTGCAAATGCCCGAAAAGCAAGAAACAACCAACTGCACACAAATAAGCCAGTAAAATGGATGTACAAGGCAAACTCAGGCCCTGACATAAAGCTCAGGTCCAAATGGATGAACAAGGCAAACTTGGGCACTGGCACAAAGCTCAAGTCCAAATGGATGAACAAGGCAAACTCAGGCGCTGGCACAAAGCTCAAGTCCAAATGGATGAACAACCAGGACGTTCCACAGCAGTTTACAGCCAGTGAACAAAAACACGCACAACACAATTATTCTCATCACCTTTAATAACTGAAAGTCAAGGTGGACTTCCAGAAATGCCCTCTAGCAAAAGTCCCAGATCATCATCAGTGAAGGTTCTGGAAAACAATGATAGAGATGCTTGCTAGCAGTGTCATGATCACAGTAACAGGCCACAACAGATACAAAGGATGAACCGAGTTCTAATATCTTTAAGTACATTTACACTTTACATGTTGAAGACTGGACACATTCAATATCAAACAAATATTAATGTCTCTAACCCACTAATGATTTAGAGAAAATGACTTGTGCAATTGGGACATGAATGAAACAGGTATTGAGGTGGACTCGTGGGTACAAAATGCCATTAAGCGTGTTGTGTGGAGGGGGCATGAATGAAACAGGTATTGAGGTGGACTCGTGGGTACAAAATGCCATTGACCGTGTTGTGTGGAGGGGGCATGAATGAAACAGGTATTGAGGTGGACTCGTGGGTAGAAAATGCCATTGACCGTGTTGTGTGGAGTGGGCATATCAGAAAGGGAATGAGACTGAAGGAAGAAATGATTGCAATAAGGGAATGAGACTGAAGGAAGAAATGATTGCAGAAAGGGAATGAGACTGAAGGAAGAAATGATTGCAGAAAGGAAATGAGAATGAAGGAAGAAATGATTGCAGAAAGGGAATGAGACTGAAGGAAGAAATGATTGCAGAAAGGGAATGAGAATGAAGGAAGAAACGATTGCAGAAAGGAAATGAGACTGAAGGAAGAAATGATTGCAGAAAGGGAATGAGAATGAAGGAAGAAATGATTGCAGAAAGGGAATGAGACTGAAGGAAGAAATGATTGCAGAAAGGGAATGAGAATAAGGGAAGAAATGATTGCAGAAAGGGAATGAGACTGAAGGAAGAAATGATTGCAGAAAGGGAATGAGACTGAAGGAAGAAATGATTGCAGAAAGGGAATGAGACTGAAGGAAGAAATGATTGCAGAAAGGGAATGAGAATGAAGGAAGAAATGATTACAGAAAGGGAATGAGACTGAAGGAAGAAATGATT